TGTCCCTAGAATTTTCCAGACCAGAATACTGGAGTGGGCTGCCATTCCCTTCTCCAGGGGATCTTCCCGACCCAGGGAATTGAACCCAGGTCTTTTGTATTATGGGCTTCCCTGGTGGCTTAGACAGTAAAGAATCTGCCTGCAATGCAGGAGACCTGGGTTTGATCCCCAGGGCAAGAAGATCCCTGGAGAAGGGAATGGCAGCCCACTCCAATATTCTTGCCTGGGAAATCCCCATGGACAGAGGAGCCTGGTGGGCTACCGTCCATGGGGTTGCAAAGAGTCAGGTATGACTGAGCAACTTTCACACCCCCTTGCATTGCAGGTAGATTTTTTTTTTTTTTTTTTTTTTACTATTTGAGCCACCAGGACCTCCTTAGTGACCCTTGAAACATACCTATTTCAGCATTTTAAAGATGGTTGGGCAGAGCAGTTTCCCCAAGGCAGCATCTAGGAACTCAGTCAGTCCACCAGCATCAGTAGTAGGTAGATGGTGTAAGAACTGTCCACTGATTGAAATAGGTGCTGCAGAAAATGCCCCCAGTAGCAGAGCACAGGGGTGCCCAACCACCTCCACGTGGGGAGCTGCCCTCTGTCACCAGTGAGAAACCTGAGGGCCAGCTGTAGAATCAGAAGCCCAGTCCCCAGCTCCCCCAAGACCAATCCAATAGCATTTAAGCATTAGAGGCTCTTATAGACTGCCGGAAACACATTGCCCTTTCTGTGTACTTTCTCACCGATGGGGAAAAAATGGGATTGCAAGAGAATCTAAAGACATGGACAGCCATGTTCAGTGGCAAAGCTGGAAATATGGCATCTCATGTAGGAATTTCAGAATGGGTTTCATTCCCATACACTGTATGGATTTTTGACTCTTGGAATATAGGAAATGTTAACAATTTTTCATCTAGTAAAGAAAGCTTTTCTCCCTTGCTCATAGAACCTTTTGCATTTTCTTCATCTAGAAGGCTTGTAAGATGAACCCTTAAGAAGTTAAATAACCAATCCATAAAAAAGGAAAAGGTCTCTGAAGTACCAGCAACATTACTAGAATTTCAGTGGGTTTTTGTTTCTGTTTTTGTTTTTTAGCTTTTGAAGTTCTTGAGATTATTCTGCAAATATAGCCTTTATTACATTATCTTAATTATGTTAGTAAATAGAACTTTATCTCATGCTGGCAAATGACTTTTTCTGACAATTTCAGCTTCCAAGTTTCCAAGTCTTACCAATGTTGCTTGGATAATAATCGACATATTTATAATACTAAGTTAAATGTGACTGTGAAAAGACTCTAAGAAAAACCCTTTCTATTATGACAGCACATATTAAATAGCTATATAATTTTTTGTGATTAGCATCATTTAATGTTTAAAACCACTTCACATAATCCCTAGGACATAGTTGGGCTTAATTGTTCTATACGTAAACTGCTGTGCATGAAGTTGATAACACTGACATACTGAAAGAAAAATCAGATACTACTTATTAGTTTTAGCAAGTAGGTTTATGTCCCTGGTTGCTCAAAAAAACATTGAGGGCTTAGATATTGAAGGTTTAAAATGGAATAAAATCACTAAACTACTATAAAGTGTACTTATTTAGTTTTATCAGTATGTGTCTATGCCAGATACTACATGTGGAGCTGAAAACTATAGCTAAAAAAGACCCAGTCTTATTTTAAAAAGGTTTGTGGGCACTCAGATACACAAGTAGAGAATTTATATATCACATATAGTTATACTGCATATACATGTATTTAAAATTTTTATTTTATTTTGGTGAATAGTTGATTTTCAATTTTGTGTTGGTCACAACAAAGTGATTCAGTTATACATTTACCTATATCCATTGCTTTTCAGCTTTTTTCCCATATAGGTCATTACAGAATATTTAGTAGAGTTCCTATCTAACTGTGCTATACAGTAAGTCCTTGTTGACTATTTTGTATATAGTAAGGTGCATGTTAATCTCAACATCTTGATTTATTCTCTCCTCTACCTTCTCCTTTTGTAACTATAAGTTTGTTTTCTAAATCTGAGTCTGTTTCTGTTTTATAAATAAGTTCATTTGAATCATTTTTAGATTGCACGTATGACTGGTATCATTTTTCTGATACCATATATATTTGCATTGTCTTTCTCCATCTGACTTTCTTAGTATGATCTTCTCTAGATTCGTCCATGTTGCTGCAAATGGCATTATTTCATCATCCTTTTTAATGACTGAGCAATATTTCATTGTATATATGCACCACATCCTCTTTATTCATCCATCTGCTGATGGACATTTAGGTTGCTTCCATGTGTTAACCACTATAAATACTGCTGCTGTGAATATTGGAGTGCATGTATCTTTGAAATATGGTTTTCCAGATATATGCCCAGGAGTGGGATTGCTGGATCATACAAATTTTGTGTGAATTTGTCTATTGACCACCTAAATACATCAGAGAATGGCATGAGAATAGACAAGTAGCATTTGGAAAGTGCTATGATATGTACATAGAACATTTATTTACCATGATTTTGATGATCTGCTCTCTAACCCTACTGAGGTTGAGAAAGAAAGAGCAATTTGTCTAAGCCATGTTTCTTAGAAGCAGAAGAGTCAAGTATTGAATAAAACAAATGTTACTACAAAGCTATTATTACCAAGTTCCACCTCCTTCTCTCTCTCCTATCTCCATTGTACCATATGGCATCCAATACCACCCATTTTTATTGTTTTTTTTTTTTTTGCCTAGATGGTACATTTCAAATGTACTATCTTGCCCTACTGTGCTTGTTTTTGCTGAATGTGTAGGGGCAAACGAAGATGAGACTTAGCCCAGAAGGTTAGTGTCTTATTGCTCAAAACTGATTGGCTACTAAAAAATGGATAATTGCCAAGTGGATCTATAATTATGATCTATTCAAAATATAAAATGTAGGAACTAGAAAGGGCTTTCAAGGCTTCCTCCTTCATTTTATGAATGAAGAAATGGAACCTCACAGTGGTAGAGCTAGTTAGAATCCATTAACCAATCACTTACCAAATGTAGCACAGAGGATTTTATTTGAGCATTATTCAAGCAATGATTTGCAAGAAAAGGCCTTTTTTTGTCACTTGGATTCTTGGCACCATTTTTCAAGCCATGTATGCTAAGATAAATGTATATCTTTATAACAAATGGATTACTGGCATGTACTTCTTGCCTGGGATTATGAGTTTCCAAAGGGTTGCATGGAATCAACCTATAAGAAAAAAAAAAAAAACAAAAACCTAGGGGAAACTAATCTTTTCAGATTAATTTAGTTCTCCCATCCCAGTTTATGAGGCAGCAATCTTGCCATGCTTATTGATTATCAGACAAGACTACTAATCCCCTTAAGGTCATTAACTGTACTTAATTAAAGAGCAGTTAGCTAGCTTCTCTTTACTAAAGTAATGTGGCTGTTAAAAGTGATTTGTACTTTACCAATATGGCAGCCATTAATCTGAATATCAATTTGTCATTTATATTTTCCCAAACAAATATATTTGGTAGGTCAAGTGAGCACTGATATTTCTCACATGCCCTCTTGATGCACTCACTGTATCTGTAATTGTCAAAAGAAGGAAAGCTTCCAACTGCCCTGCCTATATGAGGGAACAGCCATTCCTATCTTTCTGAGCTTTGCACCTAGTTATTGTTTGCCTAACAATCTGATGCTTTTCCCCATTGGCCAAAGATGGTGTAGAGGATAGTGGTGATTTGAAAAATAAAATTGTTTCTTTGTAACTGGCTGTGTTCCAAAAATAACAAAAATGAAGGAAACATGAATTCACATTATAGAGTAGTTCCAGAGACATATTAGGGAAATCAAAACAGTGTTTACAAAATATACAGTTGAAAATCATATGTTGCTGCATTTATTGTATATAATTTCACAGCATAGTTGTAGGACCATAAAGATGATAGGATTTATGAAGTGGCCTTTATAGTGTTCTGTATTTCATCCTATGTGCTTTATTTCAGGATTGTACCTACAAAAGTAAAAGTTCAGTAACACTGTACCTGCTAACAAACACCTGTGTGGATGGTTAGGTGTTAAGGGGTTCTTAAGGAAAAAAAAAGAGTAAGTACATCAAACAGGTTCTAATAAATGTCACAGGTCACTGCTGGATGTGACCTACAGTGCAACTGGGGTTCTTGCAGGAAATACTGGAGAAGTAACAGTACTCCGGGAGGTGATAATAAACGTGAGCACTTGGGTTACTTTCTAGACTGTCTGAATTCCTTTATTTTTCTTCTAGGGTTCATTTCTATTTGCTATTTGGAAAAATAGATTCCTAAAAATGGCTCTCTCATTTGGGAACACGTAAGTAAACATCAAGCTCCCTGAAGAAACAAAACAAACCAAGAAGATTTCATTAACAGAGATAATCTTTTGTCTGTTTCTCCAAATTACAGTTCAAAAGATTAGACCATGATAAACAAGAGAAAAAACTGCTGTTTCTGTGAGGTGAGTCCAAGTCTCATGTCACCAAATGATATAGGTAGAGAGATGCTTGGTCCTTTCTGACTCCGGATCCTTTTATAATCACAAACCGTTTTGGCTTTCAGAGCTGAGCAAATGTGCAAAACCTAACAACAGAGGTGCTGGTGCTGCTGGTGCAGCCTCCAGCTAATCTCAGCCAGACTTCCCTTCTGACTCGGGCGTATCATCACTATCCCGCTGAGAATATCTTGTGATTCTAATTTTGCTCTTGGGATGGAGACCAATGTTTTGGGGTAATTACTTGACTTTTTGGAACTATCTGTGACAAATTCTCTTTTGTATTTTCAACCACAATTTAACATACATACTTCAGATATGCTGTTGTAGTGCCAGAAGAACAATGTGATGAACCATGGCCCAGATGAGGAGGTTCCTAGATAATCATCAGTAGGAAGGTAAGTCTTGGGGTTGGAGCCAATGAGTAGAGCACAGTAACTAGGGCTATGGTGTAAGGAGCATAACATTCAGTAGTGCTCACTGAGCTTATTGCTCCACCAGGCACATTGTTTACCTCTCTGATTATGCAATCACTTGTGAGATTTTGCTATTACCTTCAGTTTTCAAGTTAGGGAATTGAGGCCTGGAAGACCCCACACTTAGATAACTTTGGGGTGAAGTCAGGTCCTTTTCATTATACTAACATTTAAGGAGAGAGAGAGAGAGATGAACGAACACTTGGAAGGGGCAGCCAGAACCATCCCAGGCCACGCTCTGGCTGCTGCTGCTGCGTCTCTTCAGCTGTGTCTGACTCTCTGTGAGCCTCTGGACCGGGGCCCGCCAGGCTCCTCTGTGCATGAGGTTCTCCAGGCAAGAATGCTGGAGTGGGTTGCCGTACCCTCCTCCAGGGGATCTTCCTGACCCGGGGATTGAACCCGAATCTCTATGTCTCCTGCACTGGCAGACAGGTTTTTACCACTAGTGCCACCTGGAAAGCCCAAGTCAAGCCCACCCATACTCAGATACTGAAGCACTAGAGAGAATCATTTTTTAGTCAACACGACTCTATGTCAAAGTGAGTAGTGGGGAAATGGTGATAGCTTCAAGTTTGGTGTTTTACAAATGTTTTGCTTAAGCTCTGTCCGGTGTCCTGAAATGGCTGATTCCTAACATAAAATAATCAAATTAAAAAATACATCAAAAAGTAAAATCACAGATGAAAATTTTTAAAATGTAAAATATGAATAGAAATTAATACAATAATCCCCATATATTAGCATCTAGCTTAACCAAATATTAACATTAAGTACTGCTTTATTATAGCTCATGATTTTCACAAATAATATTTTAATTATTATTAATTTCTAAATATTACATATTTCTCAAAATGTACATGTTGTTTATGTTTGTGTTCTTTCTATATACAATTTTTATTGTTGATTTCTAGGCTAAATTTCATTATAGTAAACAAATAACCAAATTCCAGAGAAAAGCGCTTGGCCATGTTTGTTGTATTAGGTTGGTATAGTTATGCATTAAAGTATACTGTATTACTCAACATTTTTATTACTTGAGGATTAATGCATCTGGAGTAGCAGAAACCAAGCCTTAAGTAAATTAACCAAATTCATAATTTTCAATCTGTGATTTGTTTTCTTAGTTGTTATTCTGTGCTTTCCTTTTACTTTCTTTATACATGCTTGTGTTTGCCAATGTCATAGCCATATCCAGGACATCTCTTTAATATTCCTTTGGTGACTATTAAATTTGATTTAAAAATACTTTCATTTGGATATTTTCAAGCTGCTTACCAGTTAGCAGTATTTTTAATGTCCTATTTATCTAATACAGTGCCTTGTGCTGTTTTCATAATCAGATAAGGGTCATTAAACCATTTTTGAGATTAAACAGCACAAAACCATTTTTTTTCCCTGTTTATGTGCCCCATTAATATTGGAGCTTATGCTTACCATGGCTTAATGTTTCAATTTTAAAATATCATTTTTGTTAATATGGAAAGGCTCTGCTATCTAATTGTAAGGATTATTTCCATTACCTTCCACCTTTGAGTGTAATCTCTGCAAATATTGGCCTCCATATTTCTTTGAACAGACAGATTTTTAACCTTGGACATTTTTCAGGACATCATTCAAAATATAGTTATGTATCCTTACTTATTTAGTTTTTAAAAATTTTTTGGGAGCAGTTTTAGGTTTGCAGCAAAATTAGAAGGAGGTAGAGATTTCCCATGTGCCTTCTGCCCCACCCTCCAATGTGCATAGAAAGCACCAGAATATACCAGAATGCTACATTTTTTTTTAAACTAAGGATAAGCCTAGATTGATACATCATAGTCAACCAAAGTCTGTAAGTTTGCATTTTGGTTCATTCTTGGTGTTGTACATGCTATAGGTATAAACAAAGTATAATGACATCCATTGTTATAATAGCAAAAACAGTATTTTCACTCTGTGCTCAGCTTATTCATGTCTCTCCCACCTATGCCCGCCAACCTTGGCAACCACTGATCTTTTTACTGTCTCCATAGTTTTTCTTTTCCCATATCACGTAGTTAGAATCACAAAGTATGCAGCACTTTCAGATTGGCTTCCTTCACTTAGCAATATGTATATCTCTTAGCAATCTATGTCTTTTTGTATCTTGATAGCTCATTTCTTTTTAGCAAGAGTAATTTTCCATTTCTGGAGGTACCACTGTTCATATATCCATTCACTTACTGAAGGGTGTCTTAGGATGCTTCCAAGTTTGGCAATTGTAAGTAAAGCTACAGTAAACATCTGTGTGTAGGTTTGTGTGAAGACATAAGTTTCCAACTGTTTTGCATAGGAGTGTGCTTGCTTAGTGTTTTAAGAAGCCACTGAGCTGTTTTCCAAAGTGGCTGTGCCATTTTCATCCCCTCAAGTCAGAAGAGTTCCTGTAGCTCCACATCGCTTCACCAGCATTTGATGCTGTCAGTGTTCTGGAGTTTGGCCCTTCTATTAAGTAGATGAAAGTGAAGTTGCTCAATCGTGTTCAATTCTTTGCAATCCCATGGACTGTAGTCTACCAGGCTTCTCCGTCCATGGGATTTTCCAGGTAGGAATACTGGAGTGGGTTGCCATTTCCTTCTTCAGGAGATCTTCCCGACCCAGGGTTTGAACCCGGGTCTCCCACATTATAGGCAGATGCTTTACTGTCTGAGCCACCAGGGAAGTAGATAGTGGTATCTTATTGTTTTAATTTGCATTTCCCTGATGATGTACAGTGCGGAGCATCTTTTTATGTGCTTATTTGCCATCTGTATATCTTCTTTATGACCAACCTAGACAGCATATTAAAAAGCAAGAGACATTACTTTGTCGACAAAGGTCCATCTAGTCAAAGCTATGGTGTTTCCAGTAGTCACGTATGGATGTGAGAGTTGGACTATAAAGAAAGCTGATTGACTCTTTTTTATTTCTTCTAGGTCCTTGTTAAACATTTCTTGCATCTTCTCAATCATTGTCTCCAGGTTATTTATCTGTAACTCCATTTTGTTTTCAAGATTTTGGATCATTTTTAAAATCAATGAATACAGTAATGTTGCAGGATATAAAATTAACACACAGAAATTCCTTGCATTCCTATACACTAACAATGAGAAAACAGAAAGAGAAATTAAGGAAACAATACCATTCACCATTGCAACAAAAAGAATAAAATACTTAGGAGTATATCTACCTAAAGAAACAAAAGACCTATACATAGAAAACTATAAAACACTGATGAAAGAAATCAAAGAGGACACAAACAGATGGAGAAATATACCGTGTTCATGGATTGGAAGAATCAATATTGTCAAAATGGCTATACTACCCAAAGCAATCTATAGATTCAATGCAATCCCTATCAAACTACCAACGGTATTTTTCACAGAACTAGAACAAATAATTTCACAATTTGTATGGAAATACAAAAAACCTCGAATAGCCAAAGTAATCTTGAGAAAGAAGAATGGAACTGGAGGAATCAACCTGCCTGACTTCAGACTATACTACAAAGCCACAGTCATCAAGACAGTATGGTACTGGCACAAAGACAGAAATATAGATCAATGGAACAGAATAGAAAGCCCAGAGATAAATCCACGAACCTATGGTCACCTTATCTTCGACAAAGGAGGCAAGGATATACAATGGAAAAAAGACAACCTCTTTAACAAGTGGTGCTGGGAAAACTGGTCAACCACCTGTAAAAGAATGAAACTAGAACACTTTCTAACACCATACACAAAAATAAACTCAAAATGGATTAAAGATCTAAATGTAAGACCAGAAACTATAAAACTCCTAGAGGAGAACATAGGCAAAACACTCTCCGACATAAATCACAGCAGGATCCTCTATGACCCACATCCCAGAATTTTAGAAATAAAAGCAAAAATAAACAAATGGGACCTAATGAAACTTAAAAGCTTTTGCACAACAAAGGAAACTATAAGCAAGGTGAAAAGACAGCCCTCAGATTGGGAGAAAATAATAGCAAACGAAGCAACAGACAAAGGATTAATCTCAAAAATATACAAGCAACTCCTCCAGCTCAACTCCAGAAAAATAAATGACCCAATCAAAAAATGGGCCAAAGAACTAAACAGACATTTCTCCAAGGAAGACATACAGATGGCTAACAAACACATGAAAAGATGCTCAACATCACTCATTATCAGAGAAATGCAAATCAAAACCACAATGAGGTACCATTACACGCCAGTCAGGATGGCTGCTATCCGAAAGTCTACAAGCAATAAATGCTGGAGAGGGTGTGGAGAAAAGGTAACCCTCTTACACTGTTGGTGGGAATGCAAACTAGTACAGCTGCTATGAAGAACAGTGTGGAGATTTCTTAAAAAACTGGAAATATAACTGCTATATGACCCAGCAATCCCACTTCTGGGCATACACACCGAGAAAGCTAGGTCTGAAAGAGACACATGCACCCCAATGTTCATCGCAGCACTGTTGATAATAGCCAGGACATGGAAGCAACCTAGATGCCCATCAGCAGATGAATGAATAAGGAAGCTATGGTACATATACACAATGGAATATTACTCAGCCATTAAGAAGAATTCATTTGAATCAGTTCTAATGAGATGGATGAAACTGGAGCCCATTATAAAGAGTGAAGTAAGCCAGAAAGATAAAGACCAATACAGTATACTAACGCATATATATGGAATTTTAAAAGATGGTAACGATAACCCAATATGCAAAGCAGAAAAAGAGACACAGATGTACAGAACAGACTTTTGGACTCTGTGGGAGAAGGCAAGGGTGGGATGTTCTGAGAGAATAGCACTGAAACAAGTATACTATCAAAGGTGAAACAGACCACCAGCCCAGATTGGATGCATGAGACAAGTGCTCGGGGCTGGTGCACTGGGAAGACCCAGAGGAATGGGATGGGGAGGGAGGCGGGAGGGGGGATCGGGATGGGGAGCACATGTAAATCTATGGCTGATCCATGTCAATATATGGCAAAAACTACAACAATATTGTAAAGTAATTAGCCTCCAACTAAAAAAAATAAATGGAAAAAAAAAAAAAAAGCTGAGCATTGAAGAATTAATGCTTTTGAACCATGGTGTTGGAGAAGACTCTTGGAGAGTCCCTTGGACTGCAAGGAGATCCAACCAGTCAATCCTAAAGGAAATCAGTCCTGAACATTCATTGGAAGGACTGATGCTGAAGTTGAAACTCCAATACTTTGGCAATTTGATGCAAAGAACAGACTCGTTGGAAAAGACCCCAATGCTGGGAAAGATTGAAGGTGGGAGGAGAAGGGGATGACAGAGGAATAAATGGTTGGATGGCATCACTGACTCAATGGACATGAGTTTGAGCAATCTAGGGGAGTAGTTGATGGACAGGGAAGCCTGGTGTGCTGTAGTCCATGGGGTCGCAAAGAGTCAGACACAACTGAGCAACTGAACTGATATCTTCTTTGGTGAAGTATTCTTAAGGTCCTGTAATAGCTGAAACATAAGGTCATTGTAAATTTTATCCTGTAGCATAGTGATTGGAGATATCTTTCCATGCCCAGGTGTTAACTTTCTGCAGCCTTTCAATTCCTAGAAGTGGGGTTGCTTTTTGCATAATATACCTCCTCACACAGGTGGCCTCCACAGGGGGCTCTGCTGCCTTGGGATGATCTCAGGCCCCTAAACTGGCCTTTCCCATCAGTGAACCAGGGCCTCCACAACTTCCTCCTGTGCTCTATATAGTGATCAGGCTCTATATGTTAGATGTCTCTGGATAAAGTAGTACCCATTCCTCTTACCTTTATGTTTTCCTTAAAGGAGAATGAATCATGTTGTATAGCTGAGGATGCAAATGTTTTGACAACAGGTTTAGATTTGGATTCAGGAGACTGGGGTTCACATTGCCCTTATTCTCTCCAAATTTTAGTATTCTCTCTCTCTCTCTCTTTTTTTTAGGCAAGGCTTTATTGGGGGCCCAGCTACATGCACGCAGCTACATCAGAGGAGGAGAGAGAATAAACATGTTCACTTGGTTGCTCTCTGCCTGATGGGATGGGGGCAAGCTTAATCCTTATATGGGTTGAGAGTAGGGTGTATCCAGGGGTAGGGTCCAAGGGACAGCTTAGGTGGTGTTATGTGCAGGGAGCATGCTCAGTACCTTGCTTTGCTCCCCACACCCTGTTTTTGCTCCTGGCTCTTCAGAAATGGCAGTAGGGGTTCTTTGATCTTTTTATATCTTTTGTTCAGAATTTGCCCCACCTGCACAGGCCTGCAGTTAGATTTAGTCCCACATAGTTTCTTTGTAATTTGTTGCTGATAGAGAGGTATATGCAGGCGCAAGTATTGCAGTACTGCAGCAAAAGGTCCAGGTCCCAGCCTGTCTCATTGTTCCTACACTCATTCTCAAGGGTTAAGTGGCTAAAGGTCTCATTTTCTGAAATTTCTTCCTGCTAGACAGGGGCTGCAGACTCTAGCCTACTCTAAAGGTGTAGAGCCCCTTATTCTGGATATCACTGTTACCTCCTTCTCAGGGTTTTTATGAAAGCTAAAATAGATCATTGTACATCAATATTGTTTTTAAATTGTGAAATACCATTTTAAGTTTAGATGTCACCATGCTCACTACCAGTAATAACCTCTGTAAATGTCAACATCTGAATAGCATCTAATATGTGCCAGATTCTGTCCCAAGTTCTTTGTTCTGTTAAACTCCCTTCAGCCTGTCTAACAGCCCTGAGAGGTGGGGACAGTGAAATCTCCGTTTTACAGGTGGGTAAACTAAGACGTTAAGCAACTTACTGGAGTGACACATAGCTAGTAAACGAATGAGCTGAGATTTGACTCTGTACTCTATGTCCATAACCGTATATTACACGCTTTTTTAATGACCATAATGCTAATGAAGAGAATGATACTAATTATTACATCCAAGTACTATAATGTACCAGTCTTCTTTACAGATCAGTAAGTTTGACTTCTTTCTAATCGTCCTACAGTCCTTAATCATTGACCCAGCTCCTGAATAAATATTTTTGGAAAAGTAAGGGAATGACACAGTGTGCAGAAATTTAAAATACATGTCCTAATACAGTGGGTCAACATCTCATTTCCACTCTTGGTGACAGTGTTGTTAGGAACAGCTAAATTTAAATAGTAATATAATCTTTTCTTTTGTTATAAAATATTAATCATGATTTTCAACTGTATTTTCAAGGAAATTATTGGTCACATCTGTGTCTACAATGTATTCTGCCATCTCCTTTATTTTAGCTGTCCTCAGTTTAGATAAAATGCATTAAACTTGTATTTATTTCTTCTCAGGTATTCATGACACTTTAAAGAGATTGTTTAGTTACACTTATGCTTGTCATCCCCAGCATGTAGCTTGCCAAATAGAGTTACAATATATGCTAAGGGACGTGAATGCTTCTGAACTGTGCTGTGAAACTTTGTCCCTAACGCTACCAATCTCTTTGTTGAGTCCTCATTCCCCCTAATGCGGGAATGTGTTGTAGTCAGTTCTGGGTTTTCTCAGCCATTCTAGATTTTAGTTCAGTTAATTAAATTTGTCCTTTCTTCCTTTTACCCCCTAGGGTCCTTTTACCCCTAGCATCCACTTCCTGGGGCTCACATGGCATCAGGGAGAAGGGTCTGTCCATGATGCCGTCAGGTGAGGTCAGCACAGTTCTGCATGGTCTCTGGTCTTCAGTCATGTACTTGGTGGCTTCACTGTCCTGAACCCAAGGCTCCCTTTCTTTTCACTGACCAAACCTCAACACTTACATAAGACTTTGAGGGATATGGGGAAATAGGGGAGATGATTTTGTGTACTCAGGGCTTCTGGAGATTTACAGGAGTTGAGGGGGAGAGTTGGGGGGAATATTGTATGGTATCTCCTCAACCTGCCCCTATTTAACACCCTGATTTCTGCTCCTGCTGCTCAGGACCTCATTCACCTTCTTGGGCTCTACCTAATGAATTCAGGGCCTTCCTATCCTTCTGTAGTCAAACTTATCTGCAGTTTCTTTGTCTCTTTTCCATTCTGCTCCCTCTGCCCTCCAATGAGGATCATGTTCTTTCCCATTTTGATGTGAGAGTGGGGGCCTGGAGGTGGGAGAAATAACAGTACAAAACTGGTTCTCTATCATGGCAAATCCTTGCAAATCTTCCCTTATAGAAAGGAGATTTTTTACCGGGAATAAGCTCTTGGAATGAAAGTCAAGATGATGATTTTTTTTTTCAAGGATCCCAGTATCTATGTTTCCCTGGCTTTGAGTGCTCCTGAAATGAGAGGGGGGTGAGGCGAGACAGAGGGTAGGACTAGGCAGGAGACGTGTTGACATCCTCTCACCACAGATATTTAATAAAACTTCCCAAATCTAAGTCACTGCCATCAACAGTGGAGCATTTGTCCATTTTCTCCTGCTGGTTCCCTTTGATTTTCAAGATGAGTGTGAGAAGTGGAGCAGCTTGTATTGTTGAAGAAGGAATGGCTGACTCATGTCTGTGTGACAAAACCCACTGAAATGTTGTGAAGTAATTAGCCTCCAACTAATAAAAAAAAAAAAGAAAGAATGGCTGTGATTCTGCTCCTCTGTTCTGATTGTTTCTTTTCAACTAATTTTTCAAATATTTATTGATGTGCCCATGTAATTCTTTGTGCCATTCTTGTTCTAGACATTGGAGGGGTTCTTGCATGGAAATATTGGATATAGCAATGAACTAGCAGACACAAACTACTTTTTGGGATTTTTAGCCTCTTCTGGAAGATTAACATACCAACAGTAAAAGATGGTGCATGCCATGAAAGTGGAGTAAAAGAGATTGACTTCGTTATGGCTGTAGTTTTGCAAAATTTTTATGTGTTATAAAAATAAAAGAAAAGAGAATCATCTTATGGTGCTGAGACAAAACTGAAGTTCAATCATCCTGTGACCTTTTCTCATTACTTACAAGTAGGTATGGGGGTGAAAATGTTAAGACAGATTCACCATTACTTATAAAGTACTACCACTTGGTATAAATTTAACGCTTCAGTGGATGTTAAAGAGATTAACACCGATTAAGGAAAAACATATGATGATAATACAGTTTCTTTAATTATATAAGAAATATAAAATGTATATAAATAAATACATTTTATTATTTTATTTTAACATTAAGCATGCATGGTATACTGATGAGTCTGACAAAATGATTCTGGAATGACACTCAGCATAGTCATCCACAAAAATAGTTCTGACTACATCAGAATTCATTGTTAAAAATAAACTTGCATGGAAATATGACTCATAATCAACTGAAAGGTTTTTGTTAGGGAAACTGCACCAATACAGCAAACAGAAACATTTAGGAATTAAATCAATGTATGGTATGTTATGCCACCATAACATTTGTATTAATATTACTAAAATGATTATGAGAAATTTGGTTGGCTTTGTACTAGACAACCAGAAATGAGATCCATACCTTGGAAGTCCTGGTCCCAAACTGTATTTGCTTTTACAGAACTTGTTTCTTTTTACCTCCAGTACTTTTTTTTTTTAAACAAAGATTTCCTTTCATCAGAATTGTGCCTATAATGTGTAATCCTATCTCCATAAACAGTGCTTGCCCTATGTCTAGCCAGATGAATATGCAATTTGCATGTTGCTGATTAAAGGGAAAGTGTATATGAATGTCTGGTCATATTTAAAAAGGAAATCTCAAAAGCTGACAAAATATCTTCCCCTTTTCTATACAGTCCAACAGCTTGAGTACTTGTACATCCACTAAGCCTTATGCCACATCTTTTTAACAAAGAATGTATGAAAAGCAGCCAGGAAGACTTTGGCTTCATGGATCTGCATGAAATGAATGCCCCATGAGAGCTTCTTCCTGCTCCTCCACTCCTCTTTCAGAATCCCTGGCTGCTGGTATTTGACTGATGTAGCAATAGGAGCTCGTGGGATTTCCATGCAGCAGTGAGAAGAAGCCTAGTTTCAGATCATAATAGACCAGCTACTGGTGAGAATGTTATCAGTCAGCTTTTACATTGGTGCCTTGGAAAGGGATTGAGGGTTGGGGGTAGGGAGCAAAGGAGAAACTGGGTAGGAGAAGATACTGTACCTTGTCAGTTTCCTGAGTTACACGGGGAGCCATAGAGATATTTTTTCTGAACTATGTGAATAGGAGCCATTGGTAAAAAGGAATGTTCTTTCAAGAATGGCAGGTTGAGACTAAGACAGCTACTGCTGATGTGGTCAAAAGAGGTCATTTGGCATACTTACATCTTAAAGTGTGCTTAGAGATGTGTTCACAAAATCTTTAATTTCTGGAAGTAAATTTTGTGGAAGCACATTGTTTTCCCAGAACATCTCAAAATTGCACATGTGAATAAAACACTGTCTTCTAGTTCTGAAACCAGTGAATGCATTCATCTATATTAGGTTTTTCATCTAGGTCATGTATTTAGCAGAGTTCAAAATAATAGTTTAAATGGTCAAAAGGCAACATTTCTTCCTTCCTCAGATGGACATTTATCTGAAATTAACTCATTTTTCTTCCACCAATAGAATTAGACAATTCATTTGACCAAGCTACTTTACTTTTTATGTTTATTTTACATTTGTTACCGGGAAATTGGTTTTCTTGCCCAACACACAGATGTTTGCATTGTGTAGTATCAGAAAATGACAGTCAATCATCTAGGTTATAACCGTTGGTTAGGTTGTAGATGTCCCAGTCTGGGACAGCCAGGAACATTCTTAGGAAAGGTGGCACTTGACTTTGGTCTTTAAATGTTATTATGAAGTCATGATTTGAAATAGAGAGCCTAGTTTGTGAAATATGTGAAGGTCAAAATGCAGAACACATTTAGGAAACTGAAATATTTTGTGTGAATTTAGTATGGAGGGTTTGAGTAGGGGAGGGATAGAAGACAGGGATGAGGCTGGAAGGTGGAGGTCAGGGTTCACAGAAGGCATAGTGTTGTGTTTTACTTCACATGGCATAATACCAACAGTGCCTGTTTTTTTTTAATAGGAGTCCAGTAAGTATTTCTTTTTTTTTTAATGCTTATAACTTATATGGTTTCTTTTTTAAAAATGTATTTATTTTAATTGGAAGCTAATTGCTTTACAATATTGTGGTGGTTTTTGCCATACATTGACATGAATCAGCCATGGGTGTGCATGTGTCCCCATCCTGACCCCCCTCCCACCTCCCTCCCCATCCCATCCTCCTGGGTCATCCCAGAGCACCGGCTTTGAGTGCCCTGTTTCATGCATCAAACTTGGACTGGTGATCTATTTCACATATGGTAATACACATGTTTCAATGCTATTCTCAGTATTTCTCGAGTAAATGAATGTAGAGACAAATGGATAGATAGATGGAATGAATATTATTATATTTTAAAAATATTTTAAAACTTTTAAATTGAAGTATAGTTGATTTACGGTGTGTTGATTACTCACTGTACTGTGAAGTGACTCAGTTATACATCTGTATACATTCTTTTTTGAATATATTCTTTTCCTTTATGGTTTGTGATAAGATATTGAATATATCTGTGTGCTGTATGGTGGGACCTTATTAATCCATTCTGTATGTAAAGGCTTACACCCACTAACCCCAATCTTCCACTCCATCCTTCTCACATGCATCCTACCCCTCCCATGCATCCTCCCTCTTGGCAACCATCCATCTGTTCTCTGTGTCCATGATTCTGTTTGTGTTTCATAGGTTTCATTTGTGTCTTTTTCTGATTTACTTTACTTAGTATGATAATCTCTAGTTTCATCCAGGTTGCTGCACTTAGAATTATTTTGTTCTTTTTTATGATTGAGTAGTATTCAATTGTGTGTATGTACCATATCTTCTGGAGAGGGAAATGGCAACCCACTCCAGTACTCTTGCCTGGAAAATCCCATGGATAGAGGAGCCTGGTGGGCTGCAGTCCATGGGGTCGCACAGAGTTGGACACGACTGAGCAACTTCACTTTCACTCACTATATCTTCTTTAAATCATCTGTCAATAGGCATTTAGGCTGTTTCCGTGTCTTGGCTATTACAAATATTCCAATCCCAAAGAAAGGTAGTGCCACGGTGCACTGGGACAACCCAAAGGGATGGGATGGGGAGGGAGGTGGAAGGGGGCATTTGGGATGGGGGACACATGTAAACCCATGGCTGGTTCATGTCANCTAAAGAGCCTCTTGATGAAAGGGAATGAGGAGAGTGAGAAAGTTGGCTTAAAACTCAACATTCAGAAAACTAAGATCATGGCATCTGGTCCCATGATTTCATAGCAAATAGATGAGGAAACAATGGGAACAGTGACAGGCTTTAATTTTGGGGGCTCCAAAATCACTGCAGATGGTGACTCTAGCCATGAAATTAAAAGACACTTGCTCCTTGGACGAGAAGTTATGACCAACCTAGACAGCATATTAAAAAGCAGAGACATTACTTGCCAACAAAATTCCATCTAGTCAAAGCTATGGTTTTCCCAGTAGTCATGTGTGGATATGAGAGTTGGACCATAAAGAATTGATGCTTTTGAACTGTGATGTTGGAGAAGACTCTTGAGAATCTCTTGGACTGCAGGGAGATCCAACCAGTCAATCCTAAAGGAAATCAGTCCTGAATATTCATTGGAAGTTCCAATGCTGAAGCTGAAACTCCAATACTTTGGCCACTTGATACAAAGAACAGACTCATTGGAAAAGACCCTGATGATGGGAAAGATTGAAGGCGGGAGGAGAAGGGAATGACAGAGGATGAGATGGTTGGATGGTATCGTTGACTCAATGGATGTGTGTTTGAATATACTCTGAGAGTTGGTGATGGACAGGGAAGCCTGGCTTGCTGCAGTCCATGGGGTTGCAGAGAGTCATACATGACTGAGTTAACAGAACTGATTGACCAGGCCTTCTTTAAGTCATTTGTCGGTGGACATTTAGGTTGCTTCCATGTCTTGGTTATTGTGAATTAGTGCTGCTATGAACATAGGGGTACCTGTTACCTCTTTGAACTCTCATTTTTGTCTGGATATATGCCAGACAAAAAATTTTATTTTTAGTTTTCTGAGGAACCTACATACTCTTTTTCACAGTGGGTGCAACAACTTACATGTAATAAACATGATGAGGATATTAATTTCTCTTATAGGCAAGGAGAGGTCATTGCAAACCTTTAAACAGGATAAGAATATAAGACGTATGGCTCTGATGGAAAAATTTGAGGGTTGGATGATTGAGGGATTAACTAGGGTCAGGGAGATCACTGAAGTTGCAGCATACTAGGCTGCTGAGAAGTTCTAAGGAAAATTTTGTCTAAGATGGAAGAGCCCTGCGAGAAAGAGCTAGATATGAAGCAGAAGCATTGGATAATGCTGACTTTTGGCTTTCGGGAGTGGAGAGTTAAGGATGATTGGCTGAGCAACTGATTCAGACCAGCCTTTGAAGCAGTTGTGTCAGATTTAGGTAGAGACATTCTGTAAGTCATAAGAGACATAGGTCTCAAAGTCATATGTAAAAGTTGAGTGTTTGGGACATGGCAGTGGGAATTATTAGGCTATAAGTGACATTTGAGAAGGAAGAAACATGGGAATGGAATTTTGAGGGTCATTAAGTGTATAGGCATGTCCAAAAAGAAGCTAAAATTACAATAAGAGGGAGACTCAAAATAGCAACCAATTAAGAGAGGGCCAGGAAGAAGTGCAACTGCCTATTCCTTATTCATTGAGACTTTTTGAGTAATGTCATCTTTTGGAGTTACTGAATGTAATTTTTTTCAGTCTGTTTGGAATTTTCACTGATTATGATACTCAAATACAATTGGTGGCTGATTTAATCTGATTGTGCTGTTTCACTTGGCTTAATGGCCTGGTTAACCATGATGGTGTGGT